GTTTGTACTTTGTACTATTAAAATTTAATTTAAAATCAAACTAAATGTTTCGAAAATTTTGAAAAATGAACATTATAACAATTAGCGTAAAAGGGGACGGAAATTGTTTATTTAGAACTTTTTCTTATTTTGTGTATAGTAACGAAGATTTCCACATGAAAGCACGTTCTTTAGTAATCCCTTATGTTGTTCATAAATGGCAAAATTATTATGAATTTACAGTAGAAAACGGTTGTTATCAGAATGTAAAAACATTGTATCTCCAAAAGATCATGAAAGATTTTTTTTTAAACTTGTATTAAATAAAGTAACTGGTTCGACATCGTTCAAGGACATTAGAACATATAAAGGAATAACTCATGAAACTTTTAAAGATACTTCAATTGCAACGAGTTTAATAAACAATTATGAAAAAATCGATGATAGTTTAAAAGAAGCAATTGCTGTTTTGTTTCCATATCAATTAAGACAATTTTTTGCTTGGTTTTTAATTTCAGAAAACGTTCAAGGTGATAAAATATGAAATAAATACAAAGAATTTTTTACGAAGGGTTTGCCTAATAACAAAGATAATGTAGCTCTTTTACATACTAACTAAATTTTAGAATCAGAAGATAAATCATACAGATGCTGTAATTTACCTTCACCAAAAAAAATGGAGAACAAAAAAGAAGATACAGATGATGAAATACACCCTTAGAAAATTTTAATATTAAAAAGAGTGACGATTTGGAATTACTACAGATTTTAAATTACATTTCGCAATTTAATTTTGAAATAGTTTACAATCCAGGAAAAGATAATATTGAAGCTGATTGCCTATCCAGAAACCCGGTCTTAGATGTATATGAAAATTCAGATCATAATTCAGTCGTTAAAATTTCAAATTTATTAAAACTGCACGATATTAAGAACGATCAAAAATTGTTAAAAATAGATGATAAATGTACGATTGAAAATAACATAATATACAAGACTCTAAACAATAGAAAAAAAATATGGATTACTGAAGACTTTGGGAAATCTCTAACTGAAAATATACACATCAATCAAGGTCATATTGGCACTAAACTGTTAATTTTAACAGTGGGTCAGAAATTTTATTTCAAAAATAACTGTTTTACTGCATCTCACTAGTGTTAATCAATTAATCCTTATCTCCTCCCAATTTCATCTTCGTAAATCGGGACTTACATATATATATAACACCCCTAAAAAATGTATATATATAACACGTGCCGCCGGCCAATTGAAGTTTTTTTTTTGATAAAATTGCAGTTTTTTTCAATAAATTCTGATGATTTAAATTTTAATTAAAAATGTTGGAAACATACTTGTAGGATATGAAACTCTCTACATGACAGTGTCTTTCGATTTTGAATAAAGTTAATATAATATATTTT